GCTCGAGTGGGACCCCATTTGTGTCTTGATAGAACTGGCTGACGACGGCTAAAAAGCCAGACATGGTCATTCCAGTCTTAACTATTCCTTTTCCAACATTTCTATCTGCGTACACTAGCAGCTGCTATGGCGGCCAGGGCCCCTATCGAGACCCCAGGCAGATCGGAACAGATGAATTATGTTCGCGGTCGGGTGAACGTTCATCAATGTGTGTCAATAACCCAACAATACAACGAGTTCGTGGCTTAATGGTTAGGACATTTGGCTCTGATCACAGAAATCGCGAGGTAGAGCGTCGAATGGTTGGGTTTGGATATGACTTGCGAAAAAAAACCTGTATTTCCGCTTAAAGTCTTTCTCAGTGTTTATAAAATTCTTAAAAACGACTGATCCTTGCAAGAATAATGTACTGGGACGTGAGTACCGTGTCTGTGAGAAAATATCCAGCAATTCCGAAACGGAATTCGCTGCCCGAAACAACGCAGGGAACACTGGGGGACCACTGATGAGCCGAAGCCCTCATAGCTGGGTCATAAGCTGACAGAATGTATGCAAAAACATGTGTCCTCACTTTTAGGGAATACCTATGCCATGGATATGTCATATCATGTAACCCCAATAAATACCCAAAGGCCTACTTCTAATAAACTTTTGACTAAGCCGTTGTTATTATAACTTCAAAGGACATATTTAGAAATTTTGGTAAGTTTTGTCCGTCTTAGGGTAGGATTCACAACGATTTGGTTATCACAATTGATGATGAGGCCGAAATTGTCGCAGTAGGTGACAATCCTGTGAGCCGCGATTTGTTTGAATCATGGTTCACGTGACCCCAATCCATAAACAAGTGCAAAGATTTGCCCAGTCCATCTTTGGTATTGTGCCTCAGTTTGGCCAAAAACATCTATTATGGAAACAGGTGAGCTTCCAATTTCTCAACTTCCGCTTCTTCACACGTGAGGTAGCGTGCTAGGAATGGGATTATAGAGTGCTGATATGCCGATGTACGGCAAGACATATGACGGAAGCCTCGGCGCATTGTACGGGTTGACTTCGCAGCCATTAGTTCAGAGTGAAGAAAGTGGGTGACCTCACTGAAGATGCGATCAGCAATTTGCTTGACCTTACAGATGAGCTGATGAGTAAATGCGGTCCTAATCGATGCAGTTTTAAGTGACTGGGAGATTTAGAGTTAGGATTCAATGCCTCTTCACTGTCTTCACAAAAGCCAGGTCATTTTGCCTTACTTGTGAGGGTAATAGGCAATGCATTTAAAAACTATGTATTACATTGTGAACGCGTAAATAGTCACTATTAAAAAGGTACTGACGAACAGTTAGTAGCATTTATTTTACAAATCACTCTTGTCTGGAGGTTTTGTGGTATTAGATCGAGTTTGCACTGTCGAGGGACATCAGGGGACACATGTACTTATATAAGCGTTAGTTAAACAGCTGCTGTGACGTGGCCGCCAGGGCTGATTGTGAGGGGTTATTCCACTGTTGTATAGCCCGTTGCTTGAAGAATTCAGAGCGGAGATTAGGCCTGGACATCTTCGTGCGCAGCTTCATCGTGTGTGTCCACAGAGATGAGGGGTGAGGTGCCACTAAAACAGGTCTTAAAAACAAGTTCTCCCTCGAGGCCGAATTGTATCTGGTAACTTAAGGTATAATTTCTTCCTTTTTGCCTGTCATACAGGGGCACTCCAGTATTTCTATGTAAGACTGGGTTTTTAACCTCTTACTAGCTTCGTTGCTCGAGGCTGCACTATCATTTTCAAGCCATAGTCGCCACGCCTGTATGCTATATTCTAAATATGGTCGAACGAAGGTGCCGTACACTTTGCCAATCAGATCTTTGTTGAAAGCTACAATTGCCCTTTTGATAGCGTGCAGCACTCACGTGACCTAGTTTGCAGCCTCGTCACATTAATGCGGAAAATCTACGAACTGCCTAACTTTTTAGTCATTGCTTCCACGCCCGCCTTTGTTTGACCGGTTACTGCCCTACCATGTGGACAAAATTGTTTTGGGAAGGAGGGAGTTCGATAGATGCATCGCAAATCTGATTTACTACAAACCCATTCACGCGCCAATGTCAACTGCGCTAAGTCCACTTTGTGGGTAGCCAGACATTCCAGTTTGCATTGTCTGACTGTCAACGGCAGGTGACTCGTAAAATGTCCTCCGTGCTCCCTCCACCAGTTGTTTTTAGCCAAATTCTCGCGCCCCCTTAGCAAAAGGTGTTATAACCGTATGTGTTCCTGTGTCAACCCCGGTTATGTCCGCCACTTACGTGTTAGGAAGAGAAGGCAGAACAGGATAGCAGATAGTACTTTAGTGTCAGTTGTACTAGGACATCAGCTCGGTTTACTGTGTCCAGCAGCTTGTCTTTTGTGGTCGGTCTCGTCTCTACAGCAGAGTATTGTTTCGTCGGCAGCATCTCCAACAACAGGGTGGCCGCTTTCAACAATGGCAGCATATTTAAGGGCCAGTAGTCAATTGTCCCTATTGGCTCTCCACGATTGGCCTCTACAGGCAGCCGTCATGCCTCCAGCCATTGGGTCCTTATGTGGTCATTCGCGCCCTCGATTACGCAAGCAAGCACGCGCACGCATC